TGGAGGTCCTGCCTGCCTCCCTCCTCCCCTGCCTGCCCTCTCCCTGCACCCTCTCCCTTCCTCCTCCTTCTCTTTCAGGTCTCAGCTCAGAGGTCAAGTCCTCCAAGAGGCCCTCCAGGACACAGGCCCCTCCCCCACGGTGACATCACTTTATTTTCTCCATAGTACTTACCCTCCCTGACATTTGTATTTGGCTATTTAGTCCCCTCATTGCTCCCTCAGTGGAAAGCAGGATACGTGGGGGCAGGGATGCCCGTTTTCTTGTTCCCCGCTGGGCCTGGCCCACAGTCCATAAAAGCAAACATCTACTGGGTGGCCCTGTCCTAAACATGCTGTGAGCATGTGAGCATTATCTCCTTCAATCCTCACCAAAGCTTCCCATTTTGCAGACATGGAAGCTGAGGCCCACGGAGAGGAGAGGACTTGCCCCAAGTGGGAAAAGGTAGGGCCAGGATGCAAACCCACAGGGCAGCTGGGGGGATGAATGAATGAATGGGTGATTTTCTAAGCTGCTCCTAGGTGCTGGGCCCTCTGCTGTGTGCTCTAGACCCAGCAGGGACCGAGAATGGCCTTTGTCCAGCCACACAGGACACTCCTCCCAGCTCCCACCTGCTCCTGAACCCCCACCTTTCAACACCTAGACGAACCACCACTTACCCTGCAAGTCTCAACACTATCACCTTCCCCCAGGAAGCCCTCCCAGACCCTCGGATGGGCGCAGGTACCTGGGCCAGCTCCTGCAGCGCCTCCCCGCCCCGACACTGCTCTCTGGGGTCATCACTGCTGCCTCAGGCTTTGGCAAGACTTTCTAGGTGTCTGGAAGTGACTGTGGGCCCCTGGAGGGCAGGATCTAGAAGTGATCTTAATTTCCACTGCATATCCAGCATCCAGAGGGAGATTAGGAAAGGGGATGTGGGTGCTGTGGCCTCCGACGGGCAGGACAGACCCAGCCCTCTTAGAGACAGATCAGATGTGCCAGGCACTCCCTGGACTCAGGGTCTGCCTCGAATGCTCCTGCCCCTCCTTCTTTTGATGTCCTCCTCCAGGAAGCCCTCCCTGACCGGAGGCTGAGTCAGGCATCTCCTCTGGGCTCCGCAGCCCAGCCCTACCCAGTTTTCAGGACTTTCCCCACTTCCCCCACCCCAACAATGGACCACGGGCTCTGGGAGGGTAAGGATGGGGCTGATTGGGTCGCTGCTGCGTCCCCAGCATCCCCCAGCACAGAGCAGGTGATCAGGAAATGGATTAAGCGCTAATCACTCACGTTCCTGAGGGTCTGAGAGGAAGGCCAGGTCTTGGCTCTTTGGCAGCAACATGGGGTGGCAGCTGGTAGCAGGGCAGCCCCAGGACAAACAAGGGGATCGATCCCATTACAAAATAGGGGTGGGGGAATGCCTGGGTGGCTCAAGCGGTTAAGTGTCTGCCTTCGGCTCAGGTCATGATCCCAGGGTCCTGGGATCGGGTCCCACATCGGGCTCCTTGCTCAGTGAGGAGCCTGCTTCTCCCTCTCCCTCTACTGCTCCCCCTGCTTGTGCTCTCTCTCTCTCTCTCTGACAAATAAATAAATAAAAATCTTAAAAAAAAAAAATAGGGGTGGGGCAAAGAAGCAGTCCTCACCTCCGTGGCTCAGCCACTGCCGCACGACTCCAGTGACATCAAAGGACAGCCATTCTGGCGTGTCGCTGGGCGCCAGCAGCCGGTTGCTGAGGTAGCGCCAGGAATCGTTGCTGTATTTCTAGGGGATGATGAATTTGGGGGGGGGAGACAGTGAGTAGATGGTGCTCCACACCCCCAAATGCACTGACTGTACCTCCCTCCTTCTGCTCCACCACACAGGCCTCCAGAGAGCCCCTCTCATGGCCCCATCCCAGACATTCACGCTGTGGGAACCACCCGCCCCAGAGCGGCCCTGGGAGGAGAGGAGGGAGACCCCCGGGCCCGGCAGGGGGGAGGTGGGGATCAAGGCACCTGGACGGCCCAGCCTCTGCCCTGAGCCCCAGGCCTGAGTTCCCTCACTGGTGAAACGCCAGGCCCCCTTCAGCTTGACAGCCCACCACGCTAAGATCCTCCGAGGACATCCTGAGGTCCACTGAGCGGGCATACAATTCTGCAACTCTGACGTCCTAACTTCTGAGAGTCTGTAACTTTCTAGGGGCTTATGTTAGAAGTCATTCCAGAACTCCAGGACTCAGGAGCACCCGAAGAATTACACACTCAATGAGCCTGAGAAGTTCTACACGCGCAGGAGTCTGACACGCCCCAAACCCAGATGCTGCCGACGCCTCACACCCCCGTGTGGTCATCCTCTGGGGCCGGGCAGAACACTCCAGGCCCTGGCAGCATAAAGCTGAATTCTCCAGAATCCAAGAGGTTTGACAATAGACCACATTCCTTTGTTGTAAGAGTCTAACACCCACCCTGAAGCCTCATGTTTCATAGGACGTGGATTCTAGGTCACATAACCTTCTGGAGACTCCAGCCCTTCCGGAGGCCCCAGCCTTCCTGGAGACTCGAAATCTTCTAAAACAGAGCTATCCAAGGGAACTTTCTCTGGCGATGGAAATGTTCTTTATCTGTGGCATCCAAAATAGCAGCCGCTAACCACATGTGACTACAGAGTACTTGAAATATGGCCAGTGAAACTGACAAACTGAATTTTTCCTTTTATTTAATTTTAGTCAACTTAAATGGCCATGTGCTGCTATACCCTACCGGACAGAACGGTCTGAGAGCCTCCGACCTTTCAAGATCCCAGCCTTCTGAGTGGTTACACCCCAGGGTGCTAGGAGTCTGCAAGTTTCAAAGAGCCCTGCGATCCACCGTGTGTGCGCCTCCGTCCTCTGAAGTTTGTCTCTGCGGACTTGGCAGCCACCAGCCACCCAGCCGCCCACCTTGGCCCCAGCCCACGGGCACGTGCGGCCCACCCGCCTCCGGGGCTCGGGCCGCCCCACCTGGTACAGCTCCACGTGCTGCTCCACTTTTAACTTGAGCCTCAGCAGGCGCAACTCTGCCCGGGAGAGCAAGACGGGCTCGGGCACTGCTTCTCGGAGCTCCGATGTGTTGAAGAGCATATATATGCTGTGCGGGCTTTTCTTGATTTTCTCATAGATTTCTAGGCAGGAGGAGCAGAGAGGAGGGATGTCAGGGGTTTGGCGGGGAGGCGGCTGGCACACCCCAAGTCTAAGAGCGTGGGCTCCCGGGCTGACAATGCTGGGTGAGAACCCAACTCTGACACTTTTTAGCTGTGGGGCTTTGGGCAAGTGGCTCGCCCTCTCTGGGTTCGTCTCCTCCTTCTGTGAAACGGGGTCTGAACCACCCTTGTCCCCCACCGTCGGTAAAGTGTCCACTCAGTACATGGCTGTAGGGGGGCTGCTGCGCTTGCTCAGGCCCCCACCCCCCAGCACTTGGAGCCTCAGGTGCAAATTAGGATCAAGGGCATTTGCACCAGCCCTGGCCTCTGCCTTCTTCCAGCTCTGTGACTTTGGGCAAGTCACATTCCTTCCCAGAGTCTCACTTTCCTGCTGTTGTTTGGGAACCAGCAACCACATCGAGCTCCCTAACCCCCAACCGGGCTCTCCTCACTGTGTGACTTTGGGCAAGTGAATTCCACTCTCGGAGCCAGATCCTCATCTACAAAACGAGGACCGACTGTGGGGTTAGTGTGTGACACGAGAGAGATGTTGCAGGTAAAGCGTGTAGGAGAGCCCGCACATTCGGGGTGCGCTCGTTGGTGTGTGTGTGTGTGTGTGTGTGTGTGTGTTAAAGAGTGCTCACTGTTTGCAGGTGCTGTTCACAACACTCACAAGGGTTAAGACATTTAAACCTCACAACCAACCACCTCGTGAGGAAAAGACGATTATTATACCCATTTTAGAGCTGGGGAAACAGGTCATTTGCCCCATGGTGACGGCCGTAGGGAGCTACAGAGCTGGGATTCAAACCCGGACAGTCTGCTCCCAAAGACTGTGCTCTTAGCCCCTAGGCCAAGCTGCCTCCCTCCTATTGTGACATTATTATTATTAATATTATTATTATTAATTGCTTCCTCTCTTCTCTTCCCTCCCTCAGCTGGTTAGACAAGGCAAAGTTCATTCTAGGTAGGAATGGCTTTGGGCAGGGGAGGGTGAAAGTTAGGAAGAGTGCTTTCTAGTCTGGGAAAAGTTTGGGATGAGCAGACAGGCCATTGACCTTCTACACTGACTGGGGCACATACTTCAGGCCTCTGCAGTGGGGGTGCAGAAATGGTGGGGACAGGATCTGATGAGAAAGGGCAGAGGAAGCTCCTTGCATGGGCCCCTGCCTCTACTCCTCCCTACTCTAGCGAGGCCAGCCTGGTCCCCCACAGAGAAGTCCTATCTTGACCCAGGGGTTACTCAGCAAACCCCAAAGGAAGGGTAGCGCAGGGGCATTGAGGCGGGTAGGGGGGCAGATAGGGAGGAAGGAGAAAGGAGGGGCAGGACTGGTCGGAAGGAGAGATGGAGAGACCGCAGAGACAGGGAGACACTAGGAGCACGGCGTGGAGGCGAGAAAGAGGGAGGAGACAGGAACGGGGAGCCCCACGCATGGGGATGAGGGAGAGACGCAAGGCAGAGATGGGGCAGACACACACGGGAAGAGAGACATAGGGTTTGGGGGCGAGATGGAGGCAGACTGGGAGGGGAGACGAGGATGGAAAGTGTCAGTGTTAAATCTCTACAAGGAAGGTGAAGCGGCCACAGAAAAGGTGAGGCCGAGAGGTGGGTGGGGAGGGGCGTCATCCGGCTGGAGCTGTAAGCTAGGCGCACGCAAGGCCCGGGGACCCACAGGTGCACCACCCAAGTCAGAAAGGGCAAGCGGGGGGGCCGCCCCCAAACCTCCGGGCCCCGCGGGACACCTGGGTCCCCGCGTGGGCGCCGGGGGGGGGGCGGGCCCAGCGGCAGCTCCACCCCGAGCTGGGGTGAAGAGGGCGGGAGGCGCCGCCGCCGCGAGGGCGGGGACCCGACCTGCCCGGTCTCGCCCCAGGCTCCGCGCGCGATCCCCGCCCCCCCGGGCACGGGAAGGAAAGGGAAGGGAGGGCGAGGCGGCCGGACGCTGGGGTTTCCCCAGCCTCCCCGAGAGGAACTGGGACTCTGGGGTGCAGACTCTCCCCCTTCAGCTCTGCGGGGTCCTCCTCCCCCCCCCCGCTTCCGGGAGGGCAGGCTCCTCCCTCCGCGCGTGGCACCCACGTGGGGCTCCCTCACCCTGACCCACTCAGTTTTCTCAGCCCGATCTTGCAGAGTCGCACCCATCCACCTCTCCCCCTAGGGCTCGACTCCTCACTCAGCCCACTTGCTCCCCTCCCTCGGCGTGGGGGGCTCGCTGCTGCCAGCAGGGCGCTGTTTGTACCGTTTCCCCCCTTTCTCATGCTTGTCTCCCCTCTCTCTAAACCCCTTCCCACCACCCAGTATTCTAGGTGTCTTGGGGGCTCGCTTCCCCCGCTGGGCTTGCTCCTCTCAGGTCCCTATGCCAAATATTTGGGGCACCTCGCGCGCATCCCCGGCGCCCCCCTGGGGTCTCCGCTGCTCTCCGACCTCCCCCCACCCCACGACCTCGGGTCCCCTTCTTCCTGCATTTATCAGCCCCCTTGCCGCCTCTCTGTGGGCCTTCCCCCAGTCCCGCGTGTTCTTCGCGCACGCTGCAAGCGGCTCCACTCTCCACTTTCCCGGCACCTCCGGGGTTCGCGTCACCTAGTTTTCCTGTCCTTCTTGAATTTTCTCGCCTCGTGAGCCCTGAGCTCTGGGTCAGCTTTCCCCACTGCCTCTCCTTTTTCAAATGCTGGGGTCTTCGCTTCTCCCAAAGCGGGCTCCCTCTCTGCAGCCCTCACCCCACGACCCCCCACACTCTAGTCCCGGGTGGAGAGGGAAGTCTTTCTACCCCTCCACCCCCCAATCGCTTCTCTCTTTCTAGGGGACTGCCCCCACGATCACGCATGTTCCCATGGCCCTCTTCTAGAAGCGGTCCACCTCGCTCACTAGCGCCTCGTCTTCAAGGGCCAGATGCCTGGCGGGGAGCGGGTAAGGAGCTCAGTCCTATCCACTTTGAGACCCCCTCCCGCTTTCCCGGCAACCCCGGGGGTCCTCTTCCTCTAGCCAGTTTCCTCTGCCAGTAATTTCCTCCCCGTGACCCCTGCACTCCGGCGCCCCCTGGGGGCTCCACTCCAGGGTCCCCGGCCCCTCTGAGCTCACTGTTGCTGTTTTCCACCATTAGCACGCGGGTGACCTCCTTGGCGTAGTAGTCCGCCTCAGGCTCGGGCTCCGGCTCGGCGCTCTCCCCCGCCACCCGGTCGCGGGTGCTGTTGTAAAGGGCCAGCACGGCCTCGGGCAGCGGGCCGGGCGGCACCTCCCCCTGGCTCGGGGGGCTGGCGAGCCGCAGCTTGGACAGGATCTGGCCGCGGATGGCCTCGATGCGCTTCCGCTTCACCAGTTCCATGTCGATGGTCTTGCAGGTGGACAGTCCGGCGGCCGGCCGGCCAGGCGTCAGCACTAGTAGCCACAGCAGCGGCAGCAGCAGCGGCAGCAGCCGCAGCCCGGAGGGCGGCATGGGGGAGGCGGCGCCCCCGGCACTGCCGAGAGCGCGAGCCGGGCTGGGGTGGGAAAAGGGAGGCCCCGCCCCTACAGGGGCTGGGGGTCTCCCGAAGAAAGGTAGGAGGGTCGGGGTGGGGGTGGAGGAGCTGATGCCCTCAGGGAAAACGGAGCGGAGGTGGAGGGGAGGCTCTGACGGGTGGTTTCTCGGTATCCCAAGGAAAAAAACCGAGATGGGCGAGATCTGGTACCAGAGGTGGGTGGTCTTGAGTAGGGGAGTTGAGGAAGGTCTGAGAGTGATCCCGTCTCCCGAATCCCGGAGGAGAAGGGTCCTTGGATGCGCGGGGGCTCAGGAGAGAGGCTGGGGATGGGGGGAGCGGCGTGCAGGGGGGTGCGCCCGAGGTCTGGGGTCAAGTCTTCGCGGGAGTTCGGGTTGGCGGCTCCTGAGGGCTGGTCCGGAATGGGGACGCCTGGGGGGGACGCCGTGGAGGGGGCAGGGAGGGAGCAAGCGTCCGAGGCGGTGGTGGAGGCGGTCTGGGGTCCCCGAGTCCTGCCTCCTGGCGGGGCAGCGCCGCGCCAATCGGTCCCCGCGCCTCCGGCTCCCAGCGGCAGCGGAAAAGTCTCAAAACTTTTTTTCCTCTTCTCCCAACCAGCTCGTCCCTCCTCCCGCTCCTCCTCCCCCTCCTCCCCGCAGTGGCGGCGGAGGCGGCGGCGGCGGGGGCGGCGGCGGCTCGTCTCAGACTCTGGGGCCTCGGGCCGCTCCTCGGCCGCTCCTTCCTCCGCTCCCGGCCGAGGCCGGCCCGCGGGCGGCTCCGAGCCGGGGGGTGCCCCGGAGGGGGCGTCCCCCCTGCCCCCGGCCGGGGGCCTCGCTGTCTGGCGGATCCGCGGCGGGAGGAGGGGGTGGGACGGCCCCGGGGCGCGAAGGGCGGCGGCGGCGGCGGCGGCGGGGACCGGCTGGGGCGGCGGGGGGTTTTGAAGCCGCCCCGGCCCCACCCAGGAAGCGCGCGGGGCGGGGGCGGCCCCCAGGGGGAGGACATGCGGGGGGGGGGCCGGGCCACCGTCCTCATCTCGCGTGGGCGGGCTCCGAGGGGGGTCCCTTAAGCCCCGGGGGGAGGGGGCGGGCACCCCGGCTCCGCCCCGCGAACGGGGTGCTGCCTCCTGGCGGCCGAGCGCGACCACAGCGGGCAGGCGGGTTGCGTGTGGCTCAGAGGGCTGCGCGGGGTCACGGAGTGAATGAAGACCTGGCGGGGAGGGCTCACTCAGAGGCTGGGGACACCGGGTCCGGGGGTGGGGGGGAATCAGAGAACGGGGACCCCAGCGGACAGAGAGTGGGAGGCTGCGGAAGAGGGTCAGCCAGAAGACGGGGTACCAGTGGGGAGAGGGGCACAGAGGAGGGAGAAGCCCCAAGGGGGGGGGGATCCTGAGAGGGGCACCCAGAGTGGGGAGGGGGGCAGAGGCTGAGGCAGAGGATGGGGGAAGTGGGTGTGTCAGAAGGGGGGGGCCTGAAGGAGGGTGTCAGTGGGAGGATAGGGCACAAGACATCTGACCCAAGAAGGAAGTCAGGAAGGCACCCACACCTGTAAGAACTGCTCTCTTTTATTGAGCACTTCCGTGGGCCAAGCAGCCTCTTCTCACCCAGCACCCTGCCGCCCCACAGGCTTACTGCCCCCATTTTACAGATGGGCCAACTGGACCTGAGGGGGCAGCCACTGGGCTGGAGGTGCTCACCGGGACAGAAGCCACGGCGGTCGCTGGCTGGGGTCAGACCCGACAGCGTCCAGAGCCCCCGCTTCTGAGCCCTGGGCCATGAGGGCCCTGGACAGGCACGCAGGGCTGGGGACAAGGGCCTGCCCTCGGGGGCACAGTCAGCACTGGACGCCGTAGCGGTCGAAGTGGCGCAGCAGTAGCCCCAGCTCCAGGTGCACGAGGCCGCCGGCCGCCGTGCGCAGGCGATAGCGGTCCGCCCCGCTGTACACGGCGTCCCCGTGCAGCAGCTGGGGGCCGCCACCCACGAAGGCGCGGGCCAGCTGCTCCCGCCAGGGACCCAGGGGCCGCCATGTGGGGCAGTGCAGCTGGTGGCTGCCAGGACTGCTGGGCACGTGGCAAAAGCCGTAGCCCGCGAGCTGACAGCGGCCGAAGCCGTCCTGGGACCACACCTGGAGGTGGAGCCGAGGCCAGCCTGCAGACGGGGAGGGAAGGAGGAAGGAAATTTCAGAGCAACGGAGTAGCTCGGTCTCCCCATCCTGGATCCCCAGCTCCTTGTCGATCTGCACGGGCCCGGTCCTCCTGCCTGCTGGGTGTCTGCCCCCGCCCCGGCCTTCTCTCTGGCCGCCTATTCACAAGGGAGCTTTCTGAATCTGTGGTCCTCCCCTGCTGAAAACCCTTCCAGGGCATCCCAGTGCCCTCAGGAGAAGTCCAACCTCGACATTCCAGGCCCTCTGGACCTGGCCTCAGCTGACATCCCTTTCTACGGCCTCCTCTTCCGTGTCCCCAGATCAGGGCAGCGCAGTCCCGAGGCGAGCGCTTTGGGCCTAGTCCCGGACACCTCCCTTCTTCCCTCACAGTGGCCCACTCTGTGCGCCCTGGGCCCAGGGCCTTCCTTCTTGCCCCGCCAATGCACCGCCCACCTGGCAGCTGGAAGCATCTTTCTCCCGCTTCCCTAGGTTTCTCACGCTCCTTAGAACACGGTTCAGCTCCTCAACCTGGTAGGCAAAGCCCTTGGAGATCTGGCCCCATTTCACCCTCCTTTCTGTGCCCCTCTGTGCTAGGCCCTGTTCTAGAAGCTGGGGACACAGTAGTGAACGGAGCAGACAAAAATTCCTGACATCCTAGACAACGAATGTAGTAAATAAGCAAATTATAGGGTATGTCAGATGGTGATCACTGCTCTGGAGAAAAATAAAGCTGGGTATGGTGGGGGTGGGGATGCAGTTTTAGAAAGTGGGTGAGCCAGGGAAGCTTCACTGAGAAGGTGGCTTGTGGGCCAATGCTGAAAGGAGGGAAGGGTGCGGGCCATGTAGACGGCCATCTAGGGAGGAACGCCCCAGGAGAGGGAGCAGCCGGTGCAAAGGCCCTGAGGTGGGAGCTGTGGGGTGGGGCCGGCGTGGCTGGAGCGGACTGAGAGCGGGGGAGGGAGAGGAGGGGACAGGCCAGATTCCACGATCCACGATGAGGCTTTGGCTTTTACCCTGAGTAAGATGCAGACCGTGGAGGGTGCCGCGTGGAGAAGGAATGTGACCCAACTTGGGTGTTCACAGAGGGACCGACTCTGGGGGCAGGGTGGGGGCACAGGGAAGAGGCTGCTGTGATTGCCCAAGTGAGAGGTGAGGGCGGGCAGACCAGGGTGCCCAGGGAGAGAAGTGCGGGAATTTAGGGTACCTTTGAAAGGTAGAGGCAAAGGGATTTCCTGATGGGCAGAATGGGGGGTGAGGAAAGAGCAGGCAAGGATGGGGCCCACACTGGAGGACGTGGGGTCTGCAGAGCTGAAGGACGGCCGCCAGGAGGATCTTTTCAACTTGAAATCTGACTTGTGAGTCACATGTTGTGACTCCCCAGTACCTTCAGGAGATGGCCTCAGCTCCATGGCCCGTCCCCTGTCCCCTGCCACCTCACCCCTGGCCCTCCTCTTATTCACCCTCGATCCTCCAAATGCCCCTGGCTCACTTTCCCTTTTGGGCCTTTCACACACAGCTCTCTGCCTAGAACCCGCTTCCATCCCTCGGGCTTATCAGCTCCTACTGGCCCTTGATGGCAAAACTCAAACATCCCCTCCTCCAGGAAGCTCTCCCTGAACTCCCTGGCAGTCAGGCATCTCCTCTGGGCTCCTCTACCCTTTAGGATCCCCCCCGCCCCATCCCAGACCTGCCCACTCTGGGGACAGCTCTGTCTCTCCCAAGGGGATGGTGAACCCCGTGAGGACAGGGCTGGGGGGGGGGGCTGCTGTCTCAATCACCAACATTTCCAGGGCATCACCCAAGACAGGCAGGGCACAGGGCAGACACTCAGTAAATATTATTTGTATTGTTGAAATACATGACATGTTTACCTAGGCTATTTCCTAGAAGCCACTCCTCTCCAGTGATCTAAATTTTCCACGAGAAAAGGTTTTCTGATACCCTTCGTCCCCCACATACTCGTTTCCCCCGTGAGCAGCTGAGCCGAGCCTGCAGAACAGAAGGGCAACCAGCCTGCCTCTCTCCCTCATAACCCCCTCCCAGCTTCCTCCTGATGGAAGACTCCTGTTTGTCTCTTTGAAAGCCACCTCCCTTCTCTCCCTGGTCCCCACCTTCCCCTCGCCCCCTGCAGCCCTGGCCTCTGGCCTAGTCCTACACACTCCAGAGCCAGCCAGCAGAGGCCCCAGCTCAGCCTCTCCGGGGCCAGGTCTGGCCAGGGAAGGGACCCAAAGGGCCTAGGGAACAGGGGTGGGACTTGGTGTTCCAAGTGCTGCTAGCCCCCCTCCCCTCAGCCTGGCCCAGGGCTCATGCCAGGAACCTACCTTGGAGGCCTTTGGTGGCAAAGTGCAGGTCGATGGGGTGGGACCAGTAGGCCATGTCCCCTACTTGGGGGGTGTCCACCTGTGTTTGGCCCTCCCGCACGCCCGACAGGAGCTTCCATGCCGCCCCTGCAGGGAGGGACGGGAAGCAGACATCAAGAAGGGGAGACCACTGGGGTTGGAGGACCCTGTCTCTCCCTGGCAGTGGGGGTCAGGGGTTATAAAGTGTGGACTCACGGGGCGCCTGGGTGGCTCAGTCGTTAGGCGTCTGCCTTCAGCTCAGGTCATGATCCCAGAGTCCTGGGATCGAGCCCTGCATCGGGCTCCCTGCTCGGCGGGAAGCCTGCTTCTCCCTCTCCCACTCCCCGTGCTTGTGTTCCCTCTCTCGCTGTGTCTCTCTCTGTCAAATAAATAAAATCTTCAAAAACAACAACAACAACAACAAAGTGTGGACTCAAGAGCCAAATGTCTGGGTTCAAATCCTGGTACTACTTCATCCTGCCTGTGCAATCTCAGGCGAGTTACCGGTCTCTGCCTTGGTCTCCCCTTCTGTAAAATGGGTGCATAAGGACGCATTCCCTCATGGTTTTGTGAAAAGATTAAATGAGCCAATACACAGAAAGCCCTTAGAACAGCATCTGGGGCACAGTGAGTGCTGGGTAAGCGCTGGATAGCATTTTATTACTCTTCTCACCCCACGTTAGAGGCCTCATCCAAGGACTAAGATGGGGCCGAGGGTGTCCTTCAAGAGCTCCAGCACATGGTGAAAGGTGCATAATAATAGCAACCCCCCCCCCCCCGGGGCTGATAATAATAGCGAAAGAAAGCCAGACGCTGTGCTAAGCGCTTTATCTATGAATTCATTTAATCTGCCCTCTGGGATTCTTAATCCCCACCCACCCACCCCCACTTTAGTCTCCCCTCGGGAGCCCACAAGGCCCTGCATGGCCTGACCTGTGCCCCGGTCCTGAACTCACTTCCCACCATTCTCCCCATCCCTCACCACCCTCTAGCCTCGCTGGCCCGATTTCTGTTCCCCTCCTCAGGGCCTTTGCACTGGCTTTGGCCTCTGCCCAGAAGGCTCTGCTCCTGGATGTGCCCGTGCCTGGTTTTTTCTCATCCTTCAGGAATCAGCTCAAGTGTGCCACCTCTCACAGAGGGGTGCTCCCTCACCCTCCTATCCGAATGCTAGTCCCTGGCACGTCATCTCCTCTCATTTCTTCCCTGAGCTCATTTTCTTACCCACTTTTTAAGATTTCTGTCTCCTCTACTTGGGAACCCCAGGAGAGCACCCCTCTTGCACACTGCTGAGTCCCCAGGACCTCAAAACTCTGATCTTCTTACACAGAAGGTGCTCAATAAGTGTTTGTTGGACAAATAAGTGCTCCTAGGAGGTGGGTGCTAATATAATCCCCATTTTACAGGTAAAGAAACACTCTGAGTAGG